CCGGTTTTTCTTGTTTTACAGTTCTTATCTAGCCACAATCTAAATTAAGAATACGCTTACAAGACAACAGTTTTTCAAAAGTGAGACATTTAGTCCCCATATCTGCAGGGTTAAATTCTGAAGGTATCTTGGACAGCTTTATCCAACCTGCATCCACAATATTCTTAATAAAATGAAACCTGACATCAATGTGCTTGGTCCTGTCATGGAATACAGGATTCTTGCACAATTGGATAGCAGACTGGCTATCAGAGTACACTGTCACAACCTGCTTAAGAAAACCAATTTCAGTTAGCATTCGTTTAAGCCAAACAGCCTCTTTAAAGGCCTCAGTGGCTGCCACGTATTCAGATTCAGTAGTGGACAATGCAACAATAGGTTGAAGTTGAGATTTCCAACTTATGCAGGAACCACAAAGAGTAAAAATGTAGGAAGTAGTAGACTTTCTATTGTCCCTATCATTTGCATAATTGGAGTCACACTACTACATTTTTAGACCTAATGTAACATTAGAGATGCAACATATCTATAATAGTGTTACCTATTTTTCTAATGTAACACTTTTTAGACATAGTGTAACACTTTCTAGAAGTATAAGTGTTACATTAGGTACTATAAAGTGTTACAAAAGGTCAAATGCAACACCAGCAAATGTAATGGTAAGAAAATGTTACATTTTCTCTATTGTAACACTTTTCAGAGAAAATGTAACATTGTTTTACCATTACATTTGCTGGTGTTGCATTTGACCTATTCTAACACTTTATAGTACCTAATGTAACACTTTTACTTCTAGAAAGTGTTACACTAGGTCTAAAAAGTGTTACATTAGAGAAATAGGTAACACTATTATAGATATGTTACATCATTAATGTTACATTAGGTCTAAAAATGTAGTAGTGTCAACATAGCCAGTAAGTAAAATGCCAGTTTCAGTTTTAGAAAACACAAGACCATGAGAAGGTGTACCCCTAAGGTATCTAAGGAGCCATTTAAGGGCAGTCCAGTGAGACGTACCAGGGTTTGCCATATATCTACTTAAGCAACTAACAACATAAGCTATATCAGGCCTAGTGCTTACCATGAGATACATGACTGACCCTATAGCACTGGAATAGGGTACAACCTTCATCCTATCTATCTCAGGAGCAGTCCTTGGGGACTGATCCTTGCTTAGCACAAAATGGGGTGCTAAGGGAACATTCACAGGTTGGGCAGAGTCAATTTTGAATTTTTTCAAGACCTTTTCAAGATAGGAGGTTTGGTTCAGGGTAAGGGTACACCTACTCCTATCCCTAAGTATATTGATCCCTAGGATTCTCTTAGCATCTCCAAGATCTTTCATAGCAAAGTTTTCACAAAGGCACTTTTGAACTATTTTAATAGCATTCACAGAGGGGCTAATGATAAGCATGTCATCAACATAGATCAACAAGAAAACAGGTACAGAGGCAGTATTCTTAAAATACAAACAAGGGTCAGAATCAGACCTTTTGAAACTCAGGGAAGACATACACTGGCCAAACTTGATATTCCATTGTCTGGGAGACTGTTTCAGGCCATAGAGGGCTTTCCTAAGTAGACAGACATGTCTAGGGTACTTAGGGTCAATAAAACCCTCAGGTTGGCTCATGAAAATATGTTTATCTAGTTCACCATGCAGGAAAGCAGTGGTAACATCCATCTGCTTCATCTCCCAGTCATTATGGGCAACTAGGGCAAGCATCATCCTAATTGTTGTGAATTTTACTACGGGAGCAAAAATTTCAGCATAGTCTACCCCTTCCTTTTGAGTGAAACCTTTAGCCACTAACCTAGCTTTAAACCTAATGTCATTTGGTTCTTCTTTAACTTTGAAAAGCCATTTGCACTCAACAACAGAACAATTAGGAGTCCTAGGAACTAGGGTCCAGGTTTTATTCAACTTAAGAGAATCTATCTCACTTTGCATAACACATAGCCAATTTTTAGATTCTCTAGAGGCAAGGGCTTCCTGGTAGGTTTTGGGCTCATTCAACTCAAGAGTTTCAAAAACAGAGAAAGCAAATAATGAAGTATCATACAGGTGAAATGCATAGTCAGTCATACTATCAGAAATCCTCTTAATGTTTCTTCTAGTCCTATCTCTGACTAACACATAATCATCTAGACTCTCATTCTCAACTTGGATCTCTCCAAGTTCTTCATTATCAGCAAAATCAGATTGAACAATCACATAATGCAAATTTTCATCATTACCACTGGGCTGCTCCACCTCACTAGAGGTGGAGTGGGTGTCATGCATAGTGTTGGTCAAATCAGGAGTACTAGACTCATTCACCAGAGGGGCAGCAGTGGTCTGGATAGGCTCCACCTCACTAGGAGAGGTGCCATCATGCACAGTTTGAGGGTCAGTCACATTTTGAACTAAGCAGGGAAAGTCACTTTCATTGAACACATCATTTCTACTTATAATGACCTTAAAACCACTCTGGTTTCTATCCCAGATCCTATATCCTTTAACACCTTCAAGATATCCTAAGAAAATGCATTTCTTAGACCTAGGATCCAACTTATCAGACTGTTGATGTACATAGGCAGCACACCCAAACACTTTTAAGTTTGACAAGTCCAGAGGTTTCTTAGAGAAGACAGACTCAGGGCACTTACCTTCTAAAGGTACAGAGGGGGATCTGTTTATCAGGTAGGTGGCAATATTGACAGCTTCTCCCCAAAACTTCTTGGGGAGGCCAGAAGTGACAAGCATACTCCTAACTTGTCTAGGAGGGTCATATTCATTCTCTCAGCTAAGCCATTCTGTTGGGGAGTATAGGGCACAATTTTGTGTCTCCTAATCCCACTCTCAACACACAACCTATCCATATCCTTATTGCAGAATTCTAAGCCATTGTCAGTTCTAAGGGTTTTAACCTTACATCCAGTTTGATTTTCTACCATAATTTTCCATTCTTTAAACCTAACATACACATCAGATTTATGTTCTAACAAACAGACCCAGACTTTCCTAGAAAAGTCATCAATTATGGACAGAAAGTACCTCCTACCCCCATGGGTAGGGACACTGGAAGGACCCCATACATCTGCATGTATGTAGTCAAGGACAGCTTTAGACTTAGGCTCACTAGAATAGCTAGAAACAGGAAACTGAACCCTATGTTGTTTATCTAGGACACAACCCTCACAGAAAGGTATGGGTGACACCAAGTCATTACCAAAACATCCAGTTTGTTTCAAAATATTTAATCCTCTATTACTCATGTGACCCAGTCTTTGGTGCCAAAGCACAGACTTGTCACTGAGTACAGCATTAGCATTTTCAGAAAAAAGGTTTGGCATGCATAACATAAAGGTTATTTTGTTTCAAGGCTTTAAACAAAACAAGAGAGTTTTTCAAAATCTTCATACACCCATTTCCCCATTTACCCTCAAGACCACATTCTTCAAAAACAGAAACAGAAAGCAAGTTGTGCCTAAGATCAGGGACATGTCTAACATTTTTTAATTTGAAAACAGTTCCATTTTCAAACTTAAGACTTATGTCACCCACACCATGGACCTTACACTTCTTATTGTCAGCTAGGGACACATAACCAGAATCACAAGCACTATAAGAAGCAAACATATTTTTAAAAGGAGTCATGTGGTAGGTACAACCTGAATCTATTAGCCATTCAAATTCAGTTAGGTTGCTTAGGGCAGAATTAGCATGATCACAGATCATGAACACTTCTTCACTAATTTCCTTATCAGTCACAGAGTTGGCCTGTTCATTTCTTTTGGGTTGGGTACAGTCCTTTATGAAATGATCTGGGTTCCCACAGTTATAGCACACCCTTTTCCTAGACTTATGCCTTTTCTTGCTAGGTTGTCTACCATTCTTATCTTGATTGTCCTTTTTAGGGTTTTTAGACCTGCTTTTAGACCTTTCCCTAACAAACAAAGCTTCCCCAGATTCCTTATGATGGTTCATAGAATGTTTTAAGTCAAGTTCTTTACTTCTCAGACCATTAATAACAATATCAAGGGTTATGTCATCCCTCCCATATTTAATGTCAGACTTAACATCATTATAGGTATCAGGTATAACATTCAATAAGACTATGGCAGTGTAGTCATCTATATGTTTATCCCCAGCCTGCTTAATGTTTTGGATTAGTTTGTTAAAAACATCTAGGTTTTCATCAATATCTTTTGATAGGTCAAGTCTAAACCTAAAAAACTTTTCCAACAAAAACAGTTTGCCAGGAAGGGAAGTATCAGTATATAGAGACTCAAGTTTATCCCAGAGGTCTTTAGCAGACTCAATGACTCCAACCTTTCTAAGGACAGAGTCAGACAAGTTTAAATATATGGTTGAGCAGGCTATTTCATTCATTTCAACTTGTTGGGGTTTTTCCTCAGTTTCTAAGTATTGCCCAGTAATAGCTCTATGAACTTTCTGTTGTATTAACACACATTTTATCTTCTGTTTCCAAATGTCAAAGTCAGTCTTACCATCGAAAGGCATCATACCATACTGGTTTGAAGCCATGATAACAGTCACAACACAACAGCAGAGATACAGGTAATAAAGAAGCTTAACCCTGATGGTTTGGGCTGCGGACTAAGTGATCACGCAGTTCCGAGGCCACTGAAGTGGCTGGCAGGGAATCACTTAGCCCTAACCTCAGGTGCCTTAGCCAACCAGGGGTTAGAGGCCACACAATTACCAGAACTCAACACAAAGAAGCGGAAGAAAAAGCTGAATAGACTGACTGAGCAGAAAAATAATACAGAAATAATACAGCAGAAAATAAGTAGGGCACGATACAGCAATACAGAGGCAGGTTCAGAGGTTATCACACAGAGGATAAATTCAACACAGACAAGTTCACATATATCAGTGGCCAAATTCGACACAGATTGGACCACTCATGCACTGTATCACCAACCTAGAGTTTCTGCAGATCTTGTCTAAATAAGATCTACACATGCAATGGTTCAGAAACTAGGGTTTCTAACCGGTAGTTCCTCAACCTAGGGTTTCAGAATACCCATGCATCATAGAAGCAGGTGTCACTCCGGCAGCCCAAGGGATAGAGTTTAAGTTTATACCTGAGCCGGTGTCAGGGAGAGACAACCCTACTTACCTTCTCCTATGGCGTCTGCCGACTTTACATCCAGGCTCTGATACCACTGTTAGGCAACGTCCTGGCAGCAACGGCCAGGCAAACATTCTATTTCGCCAGATTCCAGCGGCCATCGCCCATCGGCGTTTTTCCATCTTCTTCTTAACTGTTTCCCTGAGCTAAGCAAAAATTGATAAAAAAAATTGGACAAATTCCATCAGCAGCGTGAGGTAGACTGATATACAATTCCCCTCTCCATTAATTTTCACTGTGTCCAGCAATTCCGTTCTATTCATTTCATAATTGAGATTACGTGTTCTTTTGCTATTTTAAGATTTTAGTGGCAGATATATACATCCAAGATTCATAGTTTTTGATTGAATTCTTAATCGCTATGCACAATTTGTTTTTCTGCTAGGTTCTACACTTATACCAAAAGCAGAACCTTTGGCGTTAATATTAGCTGTCAATTATGTTTGGGAATTGATAATGGCCTTCGTACTCATTCTCAAAAAGCTTACTTGGTTTGATTTTCTAGATTAGCGTCTCAAAAAGCTTATTACTTTACGTTATACATTCGAATAGCTAAAAAGAATTGCTGTTAGGCTGTTAGCAAACCTATTTGCATAACCTGCGTTGCTAATTAAAGAGCTACCTTCACTCAACTGGTGTAAAGCAACATAACATTTGGGTTTACTATGTTTGGCTGATGATAAAGTTAATTATTCTATCACGATAAATAAATTAGTTACGATAACTGAATAATATTTGTTTAGGAACTGAAGTAATAATCTATTAAACTGCAAAATGTGAATCTAAATATGATAACAGCCTGATGTATAAAATCAGAAATGGAGCTTCGTTGTCTGGACGAATAGTGAAAGTAAAGATCATCTTGGTACATGGGAGTAACAGCACATGCAAACATCTAATTGCCAAAGAGGTTGTTCCACAAGCTCATTGCTAATAAAATATTAAAATTTTCGTAAATGCCTTTTCTTTAATCAATATTGAACTGGTCATTCTATTATGCTAGATCACATTTTATGAATTACTCTGTATTATACTGGAATTCATTTTGATTTCAAATCAATCTGCCTTTCAAGGGAATACCAGAGGACTATATCAAAGTTAGCAGCTCGAGTAGTTTATGAACCTATAGACTCCATTGACAAATCTTGCTTCATGGCTCATTCAGAAGAGAGCACTCAGTATCGAGTATACAAGAGAAAGTCCAAAATACCCTCTGATCTGGCTAGAATAAGCGATGCCATAACACAAAAATCTTGCCCAATATGTCTCTGTGAAATCAAGCCAAGACGAGTGGCGTCACTTCCACTGTGCAGACATGTTTTTTGTGCGGATTGCATCTGCAGGTGGAGTGGTTACAAGCGTGTGTGTCCACTTTGCAAAGCCGAGTTTGGCTCTTCACTCTTTATAATTGACCTCTCCTCTCAGACCCTTGTGAAGGAGGTACTCAAAGCACCACTGAATTATAGACCTACAGTAGGTTTTTCAGCACCCCAGAGAAATGCTTTGGCGGAATTGAGGTAAGTTTTGATTAAAAAGTTCCTATGTTTATAACTTGTGGTAATATGGTATACGTGTTTTTTGTCACTGCTTTCTCGTTTAACCACCTCAATTTCCAGTTTTCTGGTTTCCTGAGTAAACATAAAAAAGGGCTTCATTGTAAAAGCAATCTTTACATTTTGCTACCCAATGTTTCTTTTTGAAGTTTTAAAGTATTGATGTTCTTCTAAAAACATAATCTATTCGAAATGGCTCGGGTGTAGGGAAACAATGCCTTTCAGTATTCTAAGAGCCCATTAGGAAAACACTAAAATAGGCAGAATCTGTTGAAACTGCAGAAGCAATGACTGAATTGGCTCAATTCTTATAAAAAGTATATTTAAACTATATTTTATTAGTGAAGGCAAAAAAGTATATGGAAAAAGCTAAAGTCATCCTCAGAACTGATAAGCTAATTCTGCCAAACAAGTGCCTTCAATTGTACTTCCTTTTTTCATTTTGAACCTATTTAGCGTGCGAAAAACAGTTAGTGTGGTAAAACTCTGGCTCATAAGCCAAAAAATGAGCTTGCCAAATGGGCATTTAGTTTGTATAATAAGTATACACACTGTCATACTGAAAGGAATACTTTTGAATAAAACAGTGCATTTATTATTTAATGATAAGATGTGAAATACTATATATGTTGTTAGAGACTCTACTAATCCGAGGGGAGATGCTAAATACTTTGGCAAAGTATGTTCTAGAAGGAAGTCGAGTTAGTTATTAGTTATAGTTGTGGATGGCTAATAACTGTTTACCGGTTAGTAGAGTAGTTACTTACTATAAATAGTAGTAAGCTGGATACGGTTGGTAGACTGTTTCTGACTTTGAGTCATTTCTGGGAAGATCAGAGTGTATCTCTATCTTTTGGGGGCTTCGGCCATTGTTGCCTTTTTACCTAATCAATAAAGTTGTGCAGTTGTGTTCTTGTGAATTCTGTGAAGTAGTTGTTGAAATTGCAGAGTTCTAACATTCGTATCAGAGACTTCGATCACTGTGGATGGTACAGACGCGCACAAAGATGGAAGTGAGGATGGATAACGTGGAGCGGAATCTACAGCAAAATACAGAATTGCTAACTGCGATGATGGCGCGAATGGACGCGAGAGATCAACGTCGTTCGTGCAGTTGATCGAATGCCTCACATGCATTGCATCGTACCTCGCATCGACACTCTGCGAGACACGATGACTCTTCTCCAGATTCCGAAGGCCATTCGGATTACTCTCCGCCGCATAAATGTTCTGTGGTGAAGATGCTTACGGTTGGCTGGTACGTATTGATCGCTATTTCAGACTTAATAATATTGAAGAAGAAGAGAAAGTCGAAGTGGCAGTGCTGGCAATGGAAGACAAGGCTCTTAGCTGGTTTCAGTGGTGGGAGAAACAAGCTAGAGAGAGGACTTGGGAGAGGTTGAAGAAGGCGTTGACTCGACGTTTCCAGCCAGAATTGATACAGAATCCATTGGGGCCTTTATTGAGTCTGAAGCAAAGGAATTTTGTCAAGGAATACCGAGAGCAATTTGAGATGGCAGTTGCTTCTCTAGACAACCTGGACAATAAGGTCATGTGAGGAATTTTCTTAAATGGCCTCAAGAAGGGTATCAGAGCTGAGTTAAAGTTGTACAAGACTAAAGATCTGGCTGAAATCATGGATAAGGCCTTGTTAATTGAGAGTAAAAATGAAGAGATGTTATCCAGAAGGCACAAGGAAGAGGGCAAGAAGTTCTGGAAGACTAATGCTGCTAAGGGAGTACAGTATCCTAAATGGGGTGAAGGAAGCAAGATTAGCAGCAACATCTTACACCCAACTTCTTCTGGGAAACATCCTGTGGATACCAAAGTGGCTGAAGGGGGTGAAATTTCTCATACCAGAAAGATAGGCCCAAGATTTGTCTCAAAATGAGCTAATGGAAAGGAGCAAGAAAGGGTTGTGTTTCAAGTGTGGGGAGAATTGGAATAGGGGTCATGTCTGCAAGATGAAGAACTATAGGATGGCTTTAATTGAAGAATCTGAGGAAGAGGCAGAACTGGAGGCAGAATTCAATAGTTCTGAACTTAGTTTTAAAAGGCGCGAGGCGGCACGAGGCGTTTTCATTGATTTACCCGAGGCGCGAGGCGCTAGGCGACGAGGCGCGTGCCTCACGGATCTTAACATCATATCTTTGGTAAGATATATAGTATACTATTTCTAGTCTTCTACATGAAGCACTCATCTCAAAAAATGATAACATCACAAAAATACTTCAAACTATTAAACAATCTTAACATACATCATAAGACAAATCAAATATTTATTAAGACAATAGCAAGAAATAAATATCAAACGGCATCATTGGCAAGAGTCAAGTCAGAAAACTCAATCTTAAAATTTCAAAACATAATTAATAAGATGTTATATAAAAAATTGTTATTAATAAAATCTGTCTTATATATTTGTTAAATAAAATCAGATATTTAGGTACCCTACTCACCATGATCTAGAACAGACCAACAGAGGTAGTAACACTACAATTTCAAGGTAATAAAATATAAAATAAAACATACTTAATTAGTAAACTATCACACGTATAAGAGAACAAACTGTAGAAGAGAAGAAATAAATACTTACCCGCGACTACTCTGTGACGCGAGAAAGTAGCGGAAGAAACAGACTTGCGAGTCTTGCTACGCGAACAAGAAACAGGACCGCAGATGTGGGAACTTGGAAGCAAACCAAACGCAGAAGGAAGAAGGGAGAAGACTAGAGACTCAATCGCCAAAAGAGACATCCATGATGCGTGAGAAGCGCGTGCCTCTCAGAGGCGCAAAAGGCGTCAAAAAGCGCCATATAAGGCGCGCCTCTTGGAACCTATGCCGCCTGGGGGTGGAAGATGCGATAAAGTGATCGCCTGAGGCGCGCTTTTTTAAACCAAGGTTCTGAAGAAGGAGAGCAGAATTATATGGAATCTAAAGCCATGCAGTTGTCGGTGCTTAGCAAGGAGGGAATTCCTTCTATGAGAACTTTTAAAATATTGAGACAGTTGAAGTGGGCTGCAGAAGAGAAGAGGGTCAGTATACTCATTGATAGTGGGGCTACACACAATTTCATATCTGAGAAATGTGTGGACAAGTGGAGTATTCCTCATGATCAAATCAAGGGATATAAGGTCCAAGTTGGGAATGGAGAGTTTGTACAAAACAATAGCAGATGTGTGGGCTTGAAGTTGACAGTACAAGGGACTGACATCCATCAGATTTTTTATGTCCTAGAATTGAGAGGGACAGATATGATTCTACGATTGGAATGGTTAACCAAATTGGGGAATATGGAAGTAAATTTTCAAGAGCAGACTCTAAAGTGGAAACAAGAAGGGCACCAGTGTGTGATTAAGGGTGACTCAGCTACTAATAAGGTGGAAGTATCCTTAAGAACCATGACACAAATCATTCAGCAAGTAGGAGATGGATACTTGCTTTATTGTGAAGGAAGATTAAATGAGCAGGAATTGGAGCAGGATGGTACCAGGGAATGGGAAGAAATTTTGAAGGAATTTCCAGAAGTTTTCAAGGAGCTGGATTTTCCACCTGAGAGGGCTTGTGACCGTTCCATCAACATAAAAGAAGGAGCGAGTATTCCAAATTTGCGGCCATACAGGTACACCTATGATCAGAAAAATGAAATAGAAAGAATTATTCAAGAGATGTTGACTTCTGGAATAATTAAAAACAACAATAGTCCCTATAGCAGTCCTTATCTATTAGCCAAGAAGAAAGATGGGGGCTGCAGGTTCTGTGGAGATTACAGATTATTGAATAAGATAACAGTACCTGATAAATTTCCCATCCCAGTGATTGAAGAATTGCTTGATGAGTTAGGTGGAGCAAAAAACTTCTCATAATTAGACCTGAAATCTGGTTATCATCAAATAAGAATGAAGGCTTGTGATACCCACAAAACTGCCTTTAGAACTCATGAAGGCCATTACGAATACTTGGTAATGCCTTTTGGGCTTACCAATGCTTCTTCCACTTTCCAGGCCTTAATGAATGAAATCCTCAGACCTTTTCCAAGGAAATTTGCTCTGGTCATTTTTGATGATATACTAGTGTATACCAAATCTATTGAGGAACACAAGGAACACTTGAGAAAGATTTTAGAAGTATTACAGAGCAATAAATTGGTGGCAAATGTAAAGAAATGTTCTTTTGGTCAGCAACAATTGGTGTACTTGGGTCACATTATTTCTGAAGAAGGAGTTTCTGCAGGACATCAAGGGGTTGAGGGGATTCCTAGGTTTAACTGGTTACTACAGGAGGTTTGTCAAAGGATACAATAAGATTGCTGCTCCTTTGACCAATTTATTGAAGAAAGGGGGGTTCAGTTGGGATGATAGAGCAAGGGAGGCATTTGAGGAGTTGAAAACAGTGATGACTACTTTACCTGTGTTGAGCACTCTTGACTTCAATAAGGTGTTTACTCTGGAAACTATGCTTCAGGGAAAGGAGTGGGAGCTGTCTTAATGCAAGAAGGAAGACCCCTAGCCTTTATGAGTAAGGAATCATCTCCAAAACACCCGTTGAAATCTGTGTATGAGAAGGAATTAATGACCATAGTATTTGCAGTCCAAAAGTGGAGACCATACCTGCTGGGTAGGAAATTTGAGGTGCTAACTGATCAGAGAAGTTTGAAATACCTCATTGAGCAGAGGGTTATGGGAGAAGATCAGCAGAAGTGGATCACCAAACTCATGGGCTTTGACTTTACTATCAAATACAAACCGGGAGTGGAAAACAGAGCAGCTGATGCCCTTTCCAGAAAGATGATTCTGAATTCTCTATCCATAGTTACCTGTCAAGAATGGAAGGGACTAGAAGAAGAGCTGGAGAAGGATGATTGGTGTGGAAGTTTAATTCAGAAGGTCCTCACTCAACCTGACAAGGTGAAGAACTACCGGATGAAAGGAGGATTGTTGTATTTCAAAAGGAGATTGATAATTCCTCAGGGGTCTGGTAGAATTGCAAAAATATTGAAGGAATATTATGAAACCGTTGTGGGAGGTCATCCCGGTTACTTCCGAACCATGAAAAGAATCTCAAATCTATTTTATTGGGTGGTAATGAGATCTGAGATACAAAACTTTGTTCAAGGATGTGATATTTGTCAAAGAAACAAATACCAGGCCCTGAAACCTGCTCTGCAGCCATTGCCAATACCTACCCAAACTTGGAGTGATATAAGTATGGATTTTATTGGTGGGCTACCTAAATCTATGAGGAAGGATACTATCTTGGTTGTGGTGGATAGATTAACCAAGTTTGCACATTTTCTGCCTTTAGCACATCCTTATCATGCTAAGGAAGTGGCAGAACTTTTCATGAAGGAGATAGTGAAGATTCATGGATTTCCTAAATCCATAGTAAGTGATAGGGACAACCTCTTTCTGAGTACATTCTGATCAGAATTGTTTAAATCAGCAGGAACTAAGTTGAAGTATAGTTCAGCTTATCACCCCAAAGTGATGGTCAAATTGAAATAGTAAATAAGTGCCTAGACACTTATTTGAGATGCATGACTGGCAGGAAACCAAAACAGTGGGTTAAATGGCTACCTTGGGCTGAGCTATGGTACAATACCAACTATCACATTTCATTACAAAACACTCCCTATAAAGCATTGTTTGGTCAAGATCCACCTATAATCATTAGAGGGGATGTCATTTTATCGGCAGTGGAGGAGGTATCTAGGCTGACAGCAGAAAGAAATTTGATGCTTAAAGAATTAAAGGAACATTTGACCAAAGCTCAAAATCAAATGAAGCAACAAGCAGATAAATACAGAAGAGATGTGAAGTTAGAGGTAGGAGACAGTGTGTTTCTGAAGATACATCCCTATAAAATGAGGAGTTTAGCCCTCAGGAGCAATCAGAAATTAAGTCCCAGATTTTATGGACCCTTTGAGATCCTAGAGAAGATTAATCCAGTAGCTTTCAAGCTCAGTTTACCTGTGGGAAGTAGAGTTCATCCTGTATTTCATATTTTCTTATTGAAGAAGGTTCTGAAGCCCACTAGTACATATCAAGATCTTCCAATGGGTATGACAGAGGAGTGTGAATTACTGGTTAAGCCTGATAAGATAAAGGATGTCAGAATAAATGCTAAGGGAGAGAAGGAGGTTCTGGTGCACTGGGAAGATCTTCCAGACTTTGAAGATTCTTGGGAAATGGAAGACATCCTCAAGCAACAATTTCCAACCTTCTTGTTAGAGACTCTACTAATCCGAGGGGAGATGCTAAATACTTTGGCAAAGTATATTCTAGAAGGAAGTCGAGTTAGTTATTAGTTATAGTTGTGGATAGCTAATAACTGTTTACCGGTTAGTAGAGTAGCTACTTACTATAAATAGTAGTAAGCTGGATACGGTTGGTAGACTGTTTCTGACTTTGAGTCATTTCTGGGAAGATCAGAGTGTATCTCTATCTTTTGGGGGCTTAGGCCATTGTTGCCTTGTTACCTAATCAATAAAGTTGTGCAGTTGTGTTCTTGTGAATTCTGTGAAGTAGTTGTTGAAATTGCAGAGTTCTAACAATGTGATTGAGGTAGATGGGTTTTGGAGAGTGAAACTTTTGACATTTAGGGGAAAATGTGATCAGGTTGATAAGAAGAAGAAGAGCAGAACAAAATTCCCAATACTCAAGAACGAGGGAATTTCCTAGGAGGAGGTCATTTGGCACTCCAGAAGGTTTGGACCCTGGTGTCATTAGGGAGAAAAAACTTCAGTGGCGGTCAAGGTGGACACCTCATATGAGTTGTTTCCTTTGTAATCATTTATAGGACTTAAAATTGAGTCAAAATATTCAAATATTTTCTGTGAAATATGACTGTTTGATACTCTTCTTGCAGCATATATGAAAGGAAACTGCAGGCTGTTCCTTTCGAATCTAAAAATCGTGTTTTAGAGGTATGGCTTATCCTCTTGTTGGTACATCTCACTCCATTATTTTTACACATAAATTGATTCTTATAGATATCAGATGAATTAACTTATCCTCTTGTTGGTACATCAACATTGCATTCTTTGAAGCTTAGGGAATAATATTTCTGTACTTCATTATTTCCCAGAAAAAGGAGCACAATAGTAGAGTAAAGTCAATGGTAATACAAAGAGTGGAACCTTGGATACATAGGGAGCTGGAGGCTATACTTAAGGACCCCAATCCATCTATAATTGTACATGTCGTCACCTCAGTGCTCGTCTCCACAATTGAAAGAGGGACAATAGTTTCTTCTGAAGAGCCCGGTACAAGGGATGAACTTCTTGCTCCTCTCAGGCCTTTCTTGCATGAAAAAACAGAACATTTTTGGCATGAGCTTAGGTAAATACTGCAACACTTAAGCTACTGTGTTTGGAATACGGAACATGGGATTGGAAAGAAAAATGTAAACTAAAAAATATATTCTTCTTTATTTTTGTCTGACCCTGAAAAATATAAAAGAAATTTAAATACGTTTAGAACTTTTTAGAATTTTACATGTATTTATATTTCTTAGCTTTTCAATTATAGAAATGTATGAATATAATGAGTTTGAGTAAAAACCTAAAATTAATTGGGAAAATGGAAACTAATAATCTAAACTTTTAGCGGTCTCCTTACAATAGTCCCACCTTTTCATTATTAAAGAATAATCCAACCTTTGCGCCCCATCTTCATTCAATGGTCCCTGACCGATTGATGACCTGCCATTCCAAGTTATTTTCTTATCTTTGTTATATTATACCATAAATCCCACCTTATGGTCACATAATGTTTTGAAGATGAGGTGCAAAAGTTGGATTATTCTTGAATAATGAAAATGTGGGACTATTGTATGAAAACCGCTAAAAGGTTGGATTATTAGTTTTCATTTTCCCAAATTAATTTTTGAAGCTGGGAACAATTTTCAAATTTTCCACAATTTTCTTTCCAAATATTCCCCACATTTTCCTCCCTATTTTCTTTCCCAGCATATTCCAGGTTCCGGACAGGCCCTTAGCCACTTTCATGCTTCATTTTTACTTGCCATAGTTATTGTGTTTGAATGGTTCACTCGATGTGCAGATGTTTTGCTGAGAGCTCTTTCTCCATTGAGACATATGATACTGTGGTGGAGTACAGATCAAACCAAACCTAGTGAAAAATGATTGTATATTAGAGTAGTCCCCTAAAGAGTCCATGGATTTCTTAGTGTCTTATCCTTTTGTATTTTGAATATGGTCCTCGATTAGTTCCACAACCTGATGAGTCAAACAAGCCAGAAAGGGAACATATATTTGTGTGTATATTATCTGCCTTAGTTCTGCTTCTCTAGTTCTCTTTGGGTTGCAGGCAACTTTATTTTAATGTGAACCACTTCACACATGATTGTTATCCTATGCACAGATGCAACAAATCAAAAGGCAAACTTTTCTTTATAAGCCTGAAAATGTCGTATATAAGTAATGATTAAGAAAAGTTCCACATCACGGGATTATTATGCCAAATTTACAAGGTTGAGGCCCTAAACCCTTTTCAGAATTGATACCCGACAGATGTTGCTCATTTTTTGTGCTTAAAATCGTGTTGGAAAGCCAAAGACTTCTATTCGATGACATCAATGTTAACTCTAATACAGGAGATTATAGTATAAATTCATCTCAATTTAAGAATGTTGAATTTAATATAGTGTCTCTACTTTAAAAAGATGATTTTTAAGTGATTTTGAAAAAAGCGCTTAATAGTAATAGTTGATAGTGTGAGGAAAAAGTGATTTTGAGAAATTAAAGGTTGGTGGTATTTGTAAAAAATGCTTCTTGTGTAATAGAAAGTGTGAAAACTAGCTTAAATAACCTTCATATGCTTTCAGCTTTAGCTATTAAGTGCTTGATTAATTTAAGAATCAATTGTTACTTCTTTTTTGATCGTAAAAGTGCATTCTCATTTATCAAGCATATCGTTTTGAAAAACACTTGCAATACAATCGGGGCTTGTTCAAAATCATAACTACAGTCAGAGGTACAAATGCAAACCTTTGCTAAAGCATAAACAACATGATACGTTGATTGTTATAAAACAAAATCTTTAAATTAATATGATTTTCAACAATAAAACAAATATCATCTAAGAGCAGCTGAAAATTTGAAGCGTCATTTTCCCATTGAAAACTCTTAACTACCACCAAAGCATTCGTTTCAACCTTTAGTTGATGCTATCATGCTTGCATAGTTTCAATTAGTGCTGCTCTCACTCATTGTAGTCGACATTTTCATCTAAAGCAATCTGGATGTAAGATCGAATTCCCTGAGCCTCATCAATCGCCCCATCTACGTTAATCATGATCCACCTGCTCTTGTTTTTTGCCATCTTGACACCCTCGAAGCCCCCGCCCACTCCGCAACTTTACTGCCCACACCTGCCGCAACTTGAGCTCCTCTGCATCCCGAAAACATAACAGTTGCCCGGTGAATCATAGCCCGCTCATCTGGTTTCTCTTCAAAATGTCGTATCAACGTTTCCACAAGCTTCAACGAGTAATCACAAACTCGCATTGTCCCTCCTCATCAAAATCTTCTGATACCCAATCTTCAAGCTATTAGTCTCGTTGCAAAAAATCCCCCCACTTTCTACCAAATAGTGGTCGCATTCGGACATATTTGTAATGCATGATTCACGTTTTCACCGTTTCCCCCACACAACTTACACATAGGTGAAATCTAAAAACCTCGACTGCATAATTCATCGTTGTAGGGACACAAACCACCATGAATTGTCAAAAGAAAAACTTTAATTTAGGAGGAACGTTAAAGATCCACATTTGGGTCCAACACTTCTAAATAGCTTGGAATTTCCAATAATGTAACAATAATAACTCTTTACTCAAAAAAAAAATTGTGTCTTGATCTCCCTTCCACCCATAACAATACTAATGGGCAAACTTAATATTCGTTTGGCCTCCTCTAGGGAAAATAATTTGGTTACCCTAGATTCATACCATTTCTTTCCATCTACGGACCTGCCAGCCGCTATATTCATATCATATATCCCATTCAGTTTAGGCGATTGCACCCACGCTGAATCAGTCCTTAGGAGCCAAGCATCAACCCAAACTTGTGTTTCCTTACCATTTCCAGCTCTCCTACGAATATTATTTGAGACAAACCTTTGTGCCTCCAGAATATTTCTTCATATAAAGGGGAAATTAGCTTCTAACCTTGCGTCCAGAAAGGAAGTATCTGGAAAGTAGCGGGCTTTGAAAATTCTTTCCACCAAACTTGTTTTGCTAACGTATGAACGTTAAACTCTCTAACCCGTGAAACCCAACCCACCATCCCCATTCAGTCTACACAAAGCATCTCAAGTTTTCCACCTAATCCTCTTTTCTCAAATATTACTTCCCTTCCATCAAGGGTCATTTATAAGTTTTTCAGAGAAATCGCTAGTTAAAAAAACTTATTTCAAGTCAAAAACTGAAAAGTATTATGAAAATGAAGAAGATGAAGACTAAATTTGAGAGATAGATATATTAATAAAAGCTCTAAATATCTTCTTCTTAATATCTGAGAATTTCTGAATTTCTGAATTTCTGAATGAATTTACAATGCCTCATCAAGCTCCTATTTATACTGTTTGAACTTGATGATTAGTCACTTAAGAGATGAATCTACAGATTTGGTGGCAATAACAATTTGAGCCATCTGTTCTAACTAGGTTACAAGGATTAAACATAATTTCTGGATTGATGACAAGGATGAACAATTCACACTTGTCATTTCCAGGATTTTACAACACTCCCCCTTGAATGTTCATCCTTGAATAGTTGTCTATTATTTTAAAAACTTATTGTGAAAATTAAGGGGTAAAAATTACGACTTATAATGTCGTTGTATTTGGATGTATTGTCTCGTTAAAAACCTTATCAGGAAAAACCCAGTGGGATAAAAACCTGATGAAGGGAAAAAGAGTGCAGTGCATTCAAATACTTCCCCTGAATTTAGTATAAATTATGAAGACGTCGCATGCCGATTTTCTGTACAAGTTCCATGAACTTCTTCGGGGGTAAAGATTTGGTGAAGAGATCGGCTGGATTTTCACTGGATCTGATTTGTTGAATGTTGATCGTCCCTTCTTTCTCGAGATCATGAGTAGAGAAGAACTTTGGTGATATGTGTTTTGTTCTGTCTCCTTTGATGTAGCCTTCTTTAATCTGAGCTATGCACGCAGTGTTGTCTTCGTAGATCACAGTAGGATGACAAGTAATAGATTTCATACCGCATTCATTTTGGATGTGTTGAATCATAGATCGTAGCCACACACATTCTCTTCCGGTTTCATATAGTGCAATTAACTCAGAATGATTTGACGATGTAGCTGTCAATGTCTGCTTCATAGATCTCCATGAGATTGCGGTGTTACCATAAGTAAATACGTACCCGGTTTGTGATTTCGCCTTTTGAGGATCTGATAAGTATCCAATGTCTGCATATCCGATTAAAGCAGCTTTTTCATCTTTGTGGTAGAATAAGCCAAGATCAACTGTACCACGTAGATAACGGAATATGTGCTTGATCCCGTTCCAATGACGTCTTGTTGGGCATGAACTGTACCTAGCTAATAAATTTACGGAGAATGCAATATCTGGTCTAGTATTATTAGCTAAATACATTAAAGCTCCAATAGCACTCAGATATGGTACTTCGGGACCAAGTATTTCTTCATCATCTTCTCGGGAACGGAATGGATCATCGTGTATGTTGAGAGATCGAATCACCATTGGTGAAGTCAAAGGATGAGCTTTGTCCATATAGAATCTCTTCAAAACTTTCTCGGTGTAATTGGATTGATGGATGAAAATTCCATTCTTCAAATGCTCAATTTGAAGTCCGAGACAAAATTTGGTTCTCCCTAGATCTTTCATTTCAAATTCTTTCATAAGATATTTTGCAGTATTTTCAATCTCATCGGGAGTTCCAATAATATTTAAGTCATCAACATATACTGCAATTATGGCGAATCCCAAATTTAATCGCCGGATGAAAACACATGGACTAATTGGATCATTCTTATATCCTTCCTTAAGAAGGTATTCACTGAGACGATTATACCACATTCGTCCAGATTGTTTTAGTCCATACAATGACTTTTGTAGTTTAATGGAAAACATTTCTCGAGGTTTCGAGCTATAAGCTTCAGGCATTTTAAATCCTCCGGGAACTTTCATATAAATGTCTGTATCGAGTGAACCGTATAAATATGCAGTTACTACATCCATTAGGCGCATTTGCAGCCTTTCAAAAACAGACATGCCAATGAGAAACCTTAATGTAGTTGCATCAACTACTGGAGAATAGGTTTCTTCATAATCAATTCCCGGCATTTGAGAAAACCCTTGGGCAACAAGTCGGGCTTTATATCTTACAATTTCATTTTTCTCATTGCGTTTACGCACGAATACCCATTTAAAGCCTACTGGTTTTACGCCTTTTGGCGTAGGGACTATCGGTCCAAAAACATCACGTTTTTCAAGTGATTTCAATTCAGCCTGAATTGCTTCATTCCATTTTGGCCAATCGTGTCGTTTCCGACATTCTTCTATTGATGTTGGCTCATTGTCATTGTTTTCATTCATAACATTTGTGGCAACGACATAGACAAATATCTCATTAATATCAATATCTTTACGATTCCATTGCATTCCAGTAAAAACATAGTTTATTGAAATTTCATAATTATCAACGTTTCTATCATTATCTGGAATATCTTCCTCATTTAAGGAAGTTGGATCATCATTTGAGATATTTGTTTTGTCAATATCATTTTCTATGCCAATATTTTCAAATTGTTCATTTTCTTGTTCAGAAGGATGAACATCTTTGGCATCACAGATCGATTCCTGCCTTTTAGTTTTTCTTGGTTTTATATCTTTCGATCCAAGTGGCCTGCCACGCTTTTTGCGTATAGAAGAATCGTTTGAAAAAGATTTTTCAGAATTCTCTGTTGGGATTTCGATTCTGGCAGGGGCATTCATGGCAGGAATATGTGACTTTGTCACTTTCTTTGTGTCTGTGAATGCATCAGGCAACTGATTTGCAACATTTTGTAAATGGATTATCTTTTGCACCTTTTGCTCACATATATTTGATTTTGAGTCAAGATGTGATAATCCTGTTGCATTCCATGTTATTTCTTTCGTACTTGGGTCCGATTTATTAGTTTCTCCCCCTAAGGTTGGGAATACTGTCTCATTGAAATGACAGTCAGCGAACCGTGCGGTGAATAAGTCACCAGTCATCGGTTCAAGATATTTGATTATTGAGGGAGATTCAAATCCAACATAAATTCCCAACCTTCTTTGAGGACCCATTTTTGTACGATAAGGTGGAGCAATCGGAACATAAACAGCACAACCAAATATTTTAATGTGTGCTAAGTTTGGCTCTTGTCCAGTAACTAATTGCATTGGAGAATATTCATGATATGCAGTCGGTCTAAGCCGAATTAAATTTGCTGCATGTAAAATAGCATGTCCCCAAGCTGATGAAGGTAAATAACACTTCATTAATAATGGTCTAGCGATTAATTGTAATCGTTTAATCAAAGATTCAGCAAGACCATTTTGTGTATGGACATGAGCAACAGGATGCTCCACATCAATCCCAATCGACATACAATAGTCGTTAAATGATTGGGATGTAAATTCTCCTGCATTGTCAAGTCGGATTCTCTTTATAGAATGATCCGGAAAATGAGCTTTTAATCGTATGATTTGAGCAAGGAGTTAAGCAAATGCTAAATTTCTAGTCGATAAAAGACTAACATGTGACCAACGTGTTGAAGTATCAATCAACACCATAAAATATCAAAATGGTCCACATGGTGGGGCTATCGGCCCACAAATATCTCCTTGAATCCTTTCTAAAATGCAGGTGATTCAGTTGCAATTTTGTTCATTGAAGGCCTGATGATCATTTTGCCAAGAGAACAGGCCTTACAAGGAAAATCACTTGATACTGGAACCCTGATATTCTTTAATGGGTGTCCAAGTGAAGTCTTAATGATTTTATGCATCATTACTTGGCCTGGGTGACCTAAACGGTCATGCCACAACATTAATGTTTTTCGATCATCTAACTTTGTGTTAGAAACCAAATTTATTTCGAATGGACTAATATATGTGAAATATAGTCCTGAGGAATATGCTGGCATTTTTTCACAAAAATATTTAGACCCAGATTTAGTTGTCGTGAGACAAAGATATTCCTTTTGGTTTTCATTCATGGTTTCTATGTGATAACCATTTTGACGCATATCTTTAAAGCTCAATAAATTTCTCCGTGATTTGCTGGAGTATAAAGCGTCATTTATAATTATTTTTGTCCCATTAGGTATATGCTTTCCCAGAGCCTTCAATGAGCTTCGCAACACCTGATATGGTATTGACTTTAGCCTCAACTAAAGTCATTTGAGAGAAATACATTTTATTTCTCAAAATGGTGTGCGTTGTGGCGCTGTCTATCAGACATAGCTCTTTATCATTTGAGTGATCCATATCTTCAAAATGTGTAAATAAACATAAGCTTGATCACAAATTGTGCATATAATTTAACATAAAGTACATATATTACACACATTTATTTAAAATAACAAAAGAAAAAGGGAAGAAAGAAAAAAATACATAAAACAAATATGTTACAACATAAGGATCAGAGTCTAATATTTTATTTTGTGACATTTTGGTTTATTGTAAAAGCATCGTCCATAATGGCATCACCCGCGAAAAAGTCGGACACGTCAAATTTTGGCAGAGGTGGAGTCGTGTCGTTCACATAATTAGCTTCCATATTTTTGCCGTTGTTCAAGTTCATGGAAGCTTGAAATAATTCCACCAGATGCTTTGCAGTGCGGCATTTGTTAGCCCAATGCCCTGTCATGCCACATTTATAACAAGTGGTCTTTACCGAGGTTTTTGGAGGGCGGTTTATTTGATGTGCCTTTTGTTTGCCCTTGCCCTTATAATTTGGTCTATTGACCTGTTTATATTCTCGGTGTGACTTGTTTTTATGACCATTAAAATGCCCACGTTTAAAATGCCTTCTACTGCCACTGTATGTTGCATTTGATTCAGTGGCTAAATTATGGCCAGATGGACCATAAACCGAAGGACTAGAACCAGTGGGTCTCAGATTATGATTTTTCATCAAAAGGTCATTATTTTGCTCAGCTACCAATAATACTGATATTAAGTCGGAGTATTTTTTAAAACCCTTTTCTCTATATTGTTGTTGGAGCAGCATGTTAGAGATATGCATAGTAGAAAAGGTTTTCTCCAATATATCAGCATCAATGACTTTTTGTCCGCATAACTTTAATTTAGATGTTATTTGGAACATAGCAGAATTATAGTCACTGATTGATTTAAAGGCCTGGAATCTTAGATTGATCCAGTCATACTGAGCCTTAGGCAAAAGGACCTTTTGTTGGTGGCCATACCTCTCCTGTAAATTGTCCCATAATTCTTTTGGGTCATCTACCAAAAGATATTCAGATTTGAGACTTTCATGGAGATGGTGACGGAGAAAAATTATAGCTTTCGCTTTATCCTGGGAAGATGATTGATTAATAGCCTCAATAGTGTCTTCGAGACCATTAGCCTTTAAATGTGCTAGAGCATCAACTTTCCATTCCAGATATTTTTGACCGGATAGATCAAGAACGTCGAATTCTCGTTTGCTAATGTTGGCCATTATATAACTGCAGGAAGATGATTTCTTGGAGTGTTTGAGCAAATTCGTGCTGATAACGTATTATGAAAATGAAGAAGATGAAGACTAAATTTGAGAGATAGATATATTAATAAAAGCTCTAAATATCTTCTTCTTAATATCTGAGAATTTCTGAATTTCTGAATTTCTGAATTTCTGAATGAATTTACAATGCCTCATCAAGCTCCTATTTATACTGTTTGAACTTGATGATTAGTCACTTAAGAGATGAATCTACAGATTTGGTGGCAATAACAATTTGAGCCATCTGTTCTAACTAGGTTACAAGGATTAAACATAATTTCTGGATTGATGACAAGGATGAACAATTCGCACTTGTCATTTCCAGGATTTTACAACAAAAAGCCATTTTTTTGTTCTTGCAAACCATCATTATGTTAATATACCGAGCAATAAAGTAGTAAACAAAAAGTTTAAGGGAGCCAATTAGTCAACACATTGAAATGGTAGACATCCTATACCTAAAAGCACTACACTGAGGAGAGAAAATTTTCTCGCCAGACATTCTCCGTTTATCATCATCATCATCATCATCCTATACCTAAAAGCACTACACTCGAGAGAGATAATTTTCTCGCCCAGACATTCTCCGCTTATCATCATCCTATACCTAAAAGCACTACACTGGAGAGAGAAAATTCTCCCGCCGAAACATTCTTTGCCTAAAATCCTAAAAGTAATTTCACTTTCTGCAAAAAAAATCGTCATCATATCCTATACCTAAAAAACACTACACCGGAGAGAGAAAATTTTCCCGCCTAAGCATTCTTCGCATAAAATCCTAAAAGGTAATTTCACCTTCCGCAAAAAAATATCATTATATATCTAAAAGCACTACATTGGAGAGAGAAAATTCTCCGCATAAGCATTCTCTACCTAAAATCCTGAAATGTAATTTCACTTTCCACAAAAAATATCATCACCATTCTATACCTAAAAGCACTACACTGGAGAGAGAAAATTCTCCCGCCTAAGCATTCTCCGCCTAATCCTATACCTAAAAGCACTACACTGGAGAGAGAAAATTCTCCCGCCGAAACAATCTTTGCCTAAAATCCTAAAATGTAATTTCACTTTCTGCAAAAAAAAAATCATCATCCTATCTTATACCTAAAAAGCACTACACTGGAGAGAGAAAATTTTCTCGCCTAAGCATTCTCTGCATAAAATCTGAAAATGTAATTTCACTTTCCGCAAAAAAATATCATTATCCTATACCTAAAAGCACTACACTGGAGAGAGAAAATTCTCCCGCCGAAACAATCTTTGCCTAAAATCCTAAAATGTAATTTCACTTTCTGCAAAAAAAAAATCATCATCCTATCATATACCTAAAAAGCACTACACTGGAGAGAGAAAATTTTCTCACCTAAGCATTCTCCGCATAAAATCCGAAAATGTAATTTCACTTTCCGCAAAAAAATATCATTATATATCTAAAAACACTACACTGGAGAGAGAAAATTACTCCGCATAAGCATTCTTTGCCTAAAATCCTAAAATGTAATTTCACTTTTCACAAAAAAATATCATCATCATCCTATACCTAAAAGCACCACACTAGAGAGAAAATTCTCCCGCCTAAGCATTCTCCGCCTAAAATCCTAAAATGTAATTTCACTTTCCGCAAAAAAAAAATCATCATCATCTTATCTTATACCTAAAAGCACTACACTGAAGAGAGAAAATTTTCCTGCCTAACATTCTCCGCATAAAATTCTAAAATGTAATTTCACTTTTCGCAAAAAAATATCATTATTATTATTATCTTATACCTAAAAGCACTACACTGGAGAGAGAAAATTTTCCCGCCTAAGCATTCTCCGTATAAAATTCTAAAATGTAATTTCACTTTTCTCAAAAAAATATCATTATTATTATTATTATATACCTAAAAGCACTACACTAGAGAGAGAAAATTCCCCCGCATAAGCATTCTCAGCCTAAAACCCAGAAATGTAATTTAACTTTCCACAAAAAAATATCATCATCATCCTATACCTAAAAGCACCACACTGGAGAGAGAAAATTCTCCCGCCGAAACATTCTTTGCGTAAAATCCTAAAATGTAATTTCACTTTCTGCAAAAAAAATCATCATCCTATCCTATACCTAAAAAGCACTACACTGGAGAGAGAAAATTTTCCCGCCTAAGCATTCTCCGCATAAAATCCTAAAATGTAATTTCACTTTCCGCAAAAAATTATCATTATTATATATCTAAAAGCACTACACTGGAGAGAGAAAATTCCTCCGCATAAGCATTCTCTGCTTAAAATCCTGAAATGTAATTTCACTTTCCACAAAAAAATATCATCACCATCCTATACCTAAAAGCACTACACTGGAGAGAGACAATTCTTCCGCCTAAACATTGTCTGCCTAAAATCCTAAAATGTAATTACACTTAGCACAAAAAGCACCAATCATCATCCAATCATATCCTATACCTAAAAGCACTACACTGGAGAGAGAAAATTATCTCTCCTAAATATTCTCCGCCTAAAATCCTAAAATCTAATCACACTTTCCACAAAAAGCACTAATCATCATCCAATAATCCTAAAATCCTAAAATGTAATTTCATCCTCCTATACCTAAAAGCACTACGCTGAAAAGAGAATTTTCACGCCTAAGCATTCTCCGCCTAAAATTGTTAGGTTTGCAATGACCATTAATAAGAGTCACGGACAATCGTTGAAAAAGGTTGTCATCTTACTCTGATGTGTCATTATTACTCACAAACATTTGTATGTGACGGTGTGGAGAGTAACAAGTTCATGGGGTTGGAGTTTGTAATGACGAAGATGGACAACCAACTAAATCAACATTGAATGTTGTTTACAAAGAAATATGTATTATAGAATAATTTAAAATTTTCGTTATAGTGTAGTGGACTTAAATGCACATCCATTTCATCGTGTGATGTTCTACATTTAGTTCTTACCATTGGGTGCTTCTACGGTGCACTCCTTAATTTGGTGTGTTTTGGTACACATCCTTTTTAACCACCCATGATCCTCTTTAACCACTCATCCCATTATATCTTAATCTTATGCCACCTAATATCCTCATTAACTAAACATAATAATTTGTCATTTTTGCATTTGGATCCTTCACCGGCTTAGAAAAAAAGGTTAAACTGAACAAAATCGTCAAAGGAGATTTATTTAAACAGAAATAAATAAATATTTAATTGTCAAAGTATGTGCAAAGTTTAAAAGTATTCAAAATAGGAATTATTATTTGTAGTTGGATAGGAGTACAAAAGTACCCCTTGAAGCTTGACAAAACTTAATGCGGCCGAACATCGCTGTTGACCGCTGGCAGTCGGCGCTACACATTTGGCCGCCGTCTTCGTACATCTGGTCAGATCTGGGTGTCACCGATCTGACCACCGACATTGCACATCTTGCCATGAACCACCACCGTACATCTGACCAGATCTGGCCACGTCGGCCGCCGGCGCTAAAGATCCGGCCTCTACCGCTAAAGATTTGGCCTACACTGATGCCGACTCCGCGGATCCGGATCACCGGTATAGGGAACTAGGGGGCAATTGTTTATAGGTTTAAATATGATTTAAGTCCTTGCAATTTTTTTTTTATGTTTTTCATTCTTGTATTATGCATTATTTGGTTTTTAGTATATCACTAAAAAAATCATCCCTATAAATTTTTTGAGGAAAATATGATAGTTAAAAAAATAAAAACTAATTACTCACATTTTTAAAATACGTATTAAATTCCATCATTAGGTAGACTAAAAGAAAAATTAACATACATTTTAGAAATGAAAAACAAAAAAATAATTTCGCAGGGATACTATATTTGCAGAGACTAAAAAATATTTAAACCTTATTTATATTAGGAAGGATAAATATGGTATAAAAGTCATATTAAAGAAACAATTCAATCATATTTAGGCTAATAACTCAATCATCATTACAAATCGTTAATCATATTTAATAGCACAATATTAAAATGTGGCTGGATAAGAAAAGGTGTGTACCGGTACACTCAAAATTTTTGAGTGCATAGTAGAATTTTCCTAAAGTTTTTAATGAATCTCATATTGAACATTGGGATTTTTGAAGGACCAAATAAACACATATTCTAACTTATATGCTAATTTTAAACCACCCACTAACATTCCCGTTCCAGGCCCATTTCTCCGTTAACTCTCCCCTTTCCCTACGATTAAACACACAATCCCCATTTGCAACCCTAAGTGAATTTTCATGGACTGTAAATGCGAGTCGACTGAGAAGATTAGAAGCTGAAGCTCGTTTACTAATGGACTCAGTTCAAACGCTCTAAGGTACTCCATTCGTGTATCTTTTATTGTAAAAATGAGGGGGCTGGTCAATCTCAGGTTTAACCATAGCGGGAGGTGGTTGTTGAAGCCTTTACAGTACGTTAATGGTCAATCTCTGAGTTTTGATTTAGTTCTTTTTAGGTTTTGTAGTTTCTTGATTAGTTGATTCTGTTATATTTTAAAATTTTGAATTGTAAAGTACATATTTTGATTTAGAGAAATTTTTCACTAATATCTTCATATTTTCACAATCATGTGATTTAGAGAAAACATGTGCAAATTTTGCTTAGTTTGAAGGCCCAAGTAGTTATGCCCATTGGTTGAGTTGGTCAATAATCTGTTTGGATTGAGGTTAACGTAGGTCATAATTCAGAAAATGGATTCACTTGAATTAGTATCTTAACTCTCTTAAAATATTTTTGGACAATATATTAATATTAGCTCTACTTGCATGAATTTTGTTATAACTTTGTTTAGGTTGGGGTGAATTAAACAAGAAAACATTTCATGTGACATTCAACACTGGATGAACGGGACAAGTGGTTCACCTCACTTGACCGAGGCTAATAATTTCAATTGAAGTGAATTGAATTATTTATCATAATATCCCAGCAGAGCTTAAGAAATTGATTACACTACTTAAAGCCATATCTAGTTGTTATCACTACTATTGCTATCTGATACTCAGTGTATAATAGTATCTGTAATGTGGTGGTTTGCAGTATAGTGTTTTGTCTACATTAAAGCAATTTGTTTTTTAGCAAGAAGTGAGCAGTAAATACGTAGTATACTGTTATCTTAAAGTAAATTTCAAGTTCCATCAATTGAATTCTTAAGTTTGTCACTTCCTCGATTTCATAAAGTGTATTTGTGCATTAAAATCATCGTTCATATTATAACATTGTTGTGATTAGAACTAATGAGATATATTTGTATCATTTTGCTAGAAGTTGGTCCTGGAATTAAATTTTCTTGTTTCTGATACAGCCAAGCAACTTAAAGTTGAACATTCCATTTTCAACTTGAAGAGGTAGAAGCAGTACTTGTTAAGATCTTTGGGGATGCAAGAGACAAGCCCATTTAGTAGTACAAGTTGGGTGGGGAAGCTTCAAAATCAGTACAACAAGATAAAAGAGAATGCAGAAACTTACCCTTATGTCTGGGGTTCATATATTGCTGTGTACGGGGGTTTTGGGGTATGGCTTGTCTATAGAGGGATGAAACTCCGCAGAAAAGAAGATAGGGTCCGAGCTCTTCAAGAGCAACTCCGCAAGCTCGTTGAGTCTGAAGAGCATGGAAGTCCGTCAGCTGCTACTGGCTCTACCAGTAAGCACTCGTCACATGATAAACCCACTGATTAAATTATCTCGCTGATCTGTATTCTCTCTCAGCCCATTCTTTCTAGCCTTTGCCTGACTTTTTTTGGAAGAGGTTCTTCACATTGACATGTAGAGAACTAAAGCCCAGCTAAATCTTCTTATTCCCACATGAAAATTGGGATTTCTGATCTTCTACACAAAACATCATGTTTTTATTGTAAAACAGGTAAGAAGAAAGTATACTTACCTCACCATTATATTCCTGAACTTGATAAGTATTGAATACTCTGTTTTTTGTTTCAAGTTTACATTTGGTTTCATTGTGCGCATTGGCCATTCGTCATTCAAAAAATGCGCCCAACCCCTGTTTTATAATTAATGATGCACGCAATACACAAGAATGACAAATTTAGCAGCCGTGAAATTGTAGTTATTAAATGTTATCTAGATAGTTAAAGCTTAAAAAATTATAGTTTTTTGCTTTACTTGAGAACTACGAGTATTTATTTCCCGAGATATTACGTGCATTAATCATAGCACGAAGAATTTTGATGTACTTTTTGAATCATTAATCACAGGCTCACAGCTAAGAAAAGTTGGTTTAAAAAGATTCTTTTTTTCATTTTTGAGGGAAATAAGGAACATGATAGTTGAGTAAGAATGAAATCAAACACACTGGTCAGCCTACGATGTTAATCTATCCCATCTCCCCATGGTCATGAGTGTCCAGTTAATTTTGTTTTAATTTGTTGATCATGTAAAAGTTTATGCTTTAGGCTTTGTTCGCAAACACTAAAAAAAAAGCTTCCCAACTTTTGTCTTAAAAAAGCTAAAATGAGTGTTTTCAAGTGACAACTTCTACTTAAATTAATACTTAAAAGCTAAAAGTTGTAATCTGTTTTTTACTTTTTCTATTACACAAATTACATTTATTTTACCGAACACTACTAACTTTTACTTTTCAAAATCACTTTTTTCTCAAACATTACCAACTTTTACTATTAAACACTTTTTTCCAAAATCACTTTAAAATGTTCAAAAGAACTTATTAGTAGTGTTTGCAAACAAAACCTTAGCGGCTTAGCTTACTCTGGCTGTGTTTGCAAATGCTTGTGCTTCTCAAAAGTGGGTTTTTAAAGAGATTATTGGAAAAGTGCTTTGTAGTAAAAGTAGGTAATGTTTGAAAATAGAAGTGATTTTAATTAAAATGTAAAAGTTGAAGTGTTTGAGAAAAAAGTGATATTTAAGGTACTATATTATTACAAGACAAAAATATCCTTGTGAATCCAATTGTTTGCAGCCTCCTATTTCTCTCATTGATCGGAAGGCAGAGAAAGCGTATTTGTCGTCGCTGGTCTTGCGCCTTTGAAGGGGAATTGTATTGCGATTGCCACTGTATTGAAGCCATCTGCAGCGCCGATAGATTCGCCAGGTGGTCCGGTCACCCTTGGTTCAGCAGTTGCCTCCACACACACACACACATATATATATATATTCAAAATATCAGTAAATTATTCGGCCCATACTTCAATATGTGAAAGAAGTCATATGGCAAAACTTTGACGATGTGAATATGGTTGGAGAAGGATGAATGTGGTTGGAGAAGGAAGAGGAAGACATTTTTTTCCATGGTTGGAGTCTTGGAGAAGAAAGAGAACCGAAGACTGATGCAACAGAGGGATTTGGGGGATGAAGGAGGGGCGTTTTGGTTTTTTTCTGAAATCTTTGGTGTAATAACTATCCCTAAAGTTGCAAATATTTACTAAAAACTCTAGAAGAAATAAAAGCATCATGTGGCTGCTTTTAGCTTTTGGCTTGAAGTTGCTTAAATTTAAGCTGAAATGTACATTTGCAAACACCCATTTTGGCTTCGTTTAACAAAAAAGCTGAGAAATGCTTCCTAGAAGCATTTGCAAACATACCCAGAGGCTCCTTAGTCCATTTTATGTGCCTTTTTATTTGTTTGGATGTTTACCGTATTTTATACGATAGTATAACTACAGCCGTGCAACGTGTGAAAAGGGTATTGATGGAGTATATGAGTCCATACCCCAGGACCCACATACTCAGAAGAACAAGAGTAGGCACAACTGTCGCCCAGTGAGGCCTCCATCGGCCAGAAAGACATCAACTCAGAATATGATCCGGAAGCCAAGAGAACCGGGTGTTCCCGTCAGCCGGGTCTCCGTCGGCTGTGCTCGCGTCGGCCAGACCTCTGTCGGCCACATAGAGCTCACAGAGCCGGATTTTATACTTAGCCACTTCTACATACTTTGTACTCGACCCAGTAGTGGCCCCATTGTAAATGGGCCTCCCAAGCCCAAGGCTTGGGAGCCCAGTCCACATTTCTTCTATAAATACTCCCCTTAGGAGTAGTTGTAGGGGTTCACAAATTCATTTATTGCGAGCTAATACTCTAGCTCTCACTTCTCTCTAGGAGTTCATACTCTATCATTTGGTGCTTTCATTGAGAGCTAGAACAACAAAGTTAGCATCCTTCATCGCTACCAAGCACAGCTAACTGACTATGGGAAGAACAAAGTCAAACCGCAACTTCGTCGGCAAGGCGATCCCCGAGGCCCATGAGAACCGGGAGCACGAAGAGGACGCTACGGTCGACAAGGTCGCGGAGGAGGAGATCTTCCAGGAGACCATCGACCCTACAACTGACCTTCTCAATCAGCTTAACGGCAATGTTCAAGATGCTCGAATCGGCCTTGAGAAGAAACGCATGGAAAAGGGGGACCATGCATCGGCTCTGCAGATCACTCCCATTGTTGACCCTCAGCTGTAGGCTGCTCTATCGGCCATCATAGCTAGCTTGGCTCAGAACCCTACCGTCCTCAGCGCGCTGATGCCAAGGACGGGGGAGAACACTACGCCGCCTCCTCAGCCTCAGCCGTTAGCCATCAAGATAGGCAACGACGAAGGGGTGGTGCCGCAGGACACGTCGTCATCCCACTCCCACCCTGCTTCCCTTCTTCGACCTGGACCGACCCCATCGTGTGGAAAAGCCTCAGTCTTCAATAGGCTAGGTGACACGCGTCGTCGGCCAGCTTGGGAGAGGATGGCAGGACGGATTGGTGAACGTGGGCCTGGCTCACCAAGGGAGAGCTTGGGGTCTGTATCCTGGACAGCAGATCGGCCCCGCTTAGACAAAGGCAAAATAAAGTTGCATGAGGATGACACGCGCCACCAAATCAACACGGCACACGCGGCCCGCGTGCGAACCCAGCAAGGCGCCACTGCGACCGCCAAGGACCCCAGGGACGAAGTCATCGCCCAACTGGAGATGAGGCTTGCCCAGATGGAAGCCAAGCAGTGTGCAACCATCCCTGCTGCCAACACGTCCAGGGATCCTGGGTTCAATGCGCTCCTACACAAGGTCAGCGCCCTTGAAAGGGAGTTGGCCGAGGGACATGGTGACCCCATCATCCAAGTCAGGATCATGACTCCTTTCACTACAAGGGTGCTCTCGGCCCCCATACCCGAGAAGTACAGGGGAAACACCATCAAGCCCTATGACGGCCGCACCGACCCCCAGAAGCACTTCAGCCGCTATCAGAATAATATGCTGATGGTGAATGCGTCGGACGAGTACCTCTGCCGCTGGTTCCTTTCCACTCTCGAGGGGCCAGCGTACGAGTGGTTCAATGCGCTCCCCGAGGGGAGCATAGATTCATGGCAGGATCTTGCCCATCGCTTCCTCACCCACTTTGCCGGGATGAAGCGTGTGAAGAAATATTTCACTCATCTCCTCTCCGTCAAGCAGCAACATGACGAATCACTCCAGTATTTCATCGACTGGTGCATGAAGGAGACCGATGAGATCGAAGGGTCTAATGAGTGCACCCTCTATGGATTGTTGCGCTTACCGCTACACTAAAAGCAATCGCTGATAGTGAAGCACGCTCCTCCCCCTTTATAGCACAAGCAAAGCGCCACGCGGTCCGATTGCACCGGCAGGCTGGCTGTTGCTGGCACCGCATACCCGCGGCCCAACAATCTCCCCCCCCAGCACCTGCCAGCCTACAACTGCGCAGCATGCTGTTGCCGGGGGTCGAACCCGTGACCTTGGCTCTGATACCACTTGTGGATCGTTGCGCTTACCGCTACACTAAAAGCAATCGCTGATAGTGAAGCACGCTCCTCCCCCTTTATAGCACAAGCGAAGCGCCACGCGGTCCGATTGCACCGGCAGGCTGGCTGTTGCTGGCACCGCATACCCGCAGCCCAACACCCTCCTTGTCCTTTATCAGGGCGCGCTCTACAGCACCCCATACGCGAGGAGTCTCATCACTGACCCGTCGAGGTCATACATGAAGGCGCTCCAACGAGGGAACTTATACGTTGACGCCGACGAGCTCCACAACCACAAGAAGGATGAAGGGCACCCCTCCAAGAAGACAAACTCCGCGCAGACTCCAGGCGCACCCTCGGCCGGTCAGGGAGGGCAGAACCGCCGAGGGTCTGGCGGACAGAACAAGAAAGATCGCCCATGGCGACCAAGGATGGAAAGGTTGAGGACCCCTCTCACACACTCGGTCAGCTCCATCCTCGATTACGCCGAGGAATATGATCTCATTGAACGAGATCCTCGGCCGACGAAGGAAATCTACGCCGTCCATCAAAGCGGCACCTACTGCCGTTACCACAAGAATACCTCCCACAACACCGACGATTGTGTCACGCTGAAGAGAACCATCGAACGCCTGATTCGGCAGGGGGAAATCTCCCAATTTGTTAAAGGTGGCCCACGCAAAAATACGTGGGTAAACACCGGCAAAAATGGGGGGAACCCTCTACGAAGAAGCGCGAGATCGGCAGACTCAGCGATGACGACGAAGACTTCGAGGAACCCCCTCCAAAGAAGAACCACATCCATCTCATCGTGGGGGGCAATACTGGGGGGGACTCCGCTACCCAGAGGAAGAAATGGGCTCATTCCCTATATATTGGTGAGGTATCTCACATTCTGCCCCAACCGAAGAAGCAACGGACGGAGGCGATCACCTTCACCGACAAGGATGTGCCTCCAGGCTCCGCATCACACAGGGACGCCCTCATCATCCGATATGAGATAGGCAACTCTATCATCCATCACACTTACATTGATACGGGGAGCTCCGTCAACGCCATGTACCTTGACACCTTCAAACAGCTGAAGTTGAACAAGGCACTGCTCAAGCCGATCCAGACACCGTTGTACGGCTTTACCGGGGACTCTATCGAAGCCGAGGGCACGATAGTCCTCCCGTGGAAGTTGGCGACGGCTCCCATCGCGCCAAAATTGACACGGAATTCATGGTGCTCAACCTCGAATGCGCCCACAACCTGATCTGGCGGTGAC